CCCGCATACAACCCTGACCAGCGCCCCTGTCCGACAGGCCACTTCTCACTGGAATCGGAAGCCTGCTCCAAATCCCAGTCCTTTGCTATGTCTTGCCCACAAGAGCTTCTCAACCTTCCACTTCTAGCACTAACAAGATTAGAAATTGCCCTTTTTTGTTGTAAATTTACACCCACTCCATCCCAAGTTATAATGAACAATGATCTTTTACTGATTTCCAATTCAGGATATGACCATTTATCCAAAGGCAGGAAGGGATACTCTGCTTAAAATATTTGAAATTCCATTTTAAGGACAAGTTTGGTATGATCTAAGAAAAACAGTGAGCAAACTGAGACAGACATAAAGTGTCCGTTCTGAGATAAAAGGAAAGAATGAAACAGAGCTGAGACTGCCAATGTGGGGAGCACAGACCTCCAACTGCTAGCTTTTATGTCAGGAATATTTTCTGTGGTGACTATCTTGGTTTCAGAAAAAGTGTGTTATATTATCAAATCAGATTTAAAATATAGACATGTATGTTTAACCTGGCAGGTTTTTGTAGTAAAAGGCACTACTTTAATTGACAGTTGTGTTTCCCTCCATACCCCACCCTCCCAGTGTCCAATGAGTAAATAAGAATAGACTAGAGCCCGGATGGACATGGCTCAGCGTTTGAGCATCGACCTAGAATCCAGGAGATCAAGGTTCGATTCCCGGTCAGGGCACATGCCCGGGTTGCGGGCTCAATCCCCAGTAGGGGGCATGCAGGAGGCAGCCGATCAAGGACTCTTTCATCACTGATGTTTCTATCTCTCCCTCTCCCTCTCTCTGAAATCAATAAAGATATATTTTTTCAAAAAATTTTTTAATTAAAAAAGAATAGAATAGAAATACTGTGGACACCACACAGGACCCAAGGGTGGGGAGTGGCGCAGAAACCTGCCTCAGTCCAATTTTACTCCAATTAGTCTGTAGCACTTTTCCCCTGGACAGGCTGTGACAAGTGTTAGGCCCAATGTTGTTTTATCACGTTTTGGCAGAACCTGAAGTAAATCCCTGTCTTTTTAATCCCTTTAAAGACTTGAAAAAAATTTGCAGTCGGAAAGTCAGGCCTCAACTGCGAATGAGATAAAAATGTGATTAAGATTTTCTACTCTATCCCGGGTCACAATGGATGCTGCTGTTCTATGAGAGCTTTACTTAGAAAAAAAGTAGAATTGTTTGGGGCATACCCGGGAGTTTGAGCTTCCGGCAGCAGGCGTTGCAACAATGTTTTGCAATGAAGTTTCTAATTGCATCTTCCCCTAAATTGGCTGGTCCAAACACCATTCCTCTTGATCTGGAGGAAATATCAGAATATCAATTAGATCACAGCGAAAAAAAAGGAGCTGGACTAGGATTCTCTGAGATACCGAACAGTATCCCATAGTAACCCAGCAAACTTGAAGGAGCCAACAAAGAACAGAGCACTTTGGGGAAGCAACAATGTTAGGTTTGCAAATTTAAAATTCAAATGCACTTAAATCTTTGGACCCAACTCCAAGACCTACTGTGAAATTCATTTCAGTGCTAATCTGATAGAAGAGTGAATTTTCTACGTAACCGCACGAAACCAGAATACACTGAGCCCCTTTTTCATGCCTACAGCTGAGAGAATGGCATTCCTTACCAAGCGTTCCACTAGAATACAGGAAAGGTCAGGTATAAAGTAAAACAACTTTGCTGTTGAAACACATCTTCTAAAAGGATTCATATACATTGTTTCAAACCCAAATACCTTTCTAAATATAACCATGTCCTGGAAAACAAATCCCAGACAAAACCCGACATCAGGACTCATGACTCTTTCAGGACCTGCTTTCCACCCTGCAGACTGCTGCGGCTGGGCTCTTTGTGGAAAGACAAGACTGCCGTGATTTTGTGGACGTCAACTACATATGCTAAATGTAGGTGGCAAAAAATCACAAATAGAATCAGTATCTATCTGGCATATTTTGAACACTCTGATTATAACAGATCCTCAGCAGATTCCAGGATCGACACTCATCCATTATCAGGTCACGCACACCCATTACTCTTAGGCTGACACTCCGCACACCACGGAACACAGCACACCAGAAACACTCCCCAAGGAACTTTATGAAAGCTAATATTTTATTTTAATGACATGCAGAGTGGAAAGAGCACGTTTTAAAATCTGAACTCAATTACCGCTCTTAAATACCACGTCTTAAGAAAAAAAAATAAAAGCAAACTATCACAAAAGGAAACAATAAACTTTGCTTCGAAGGAATGCAGTTTTTCAAAAGGGACGTGGTGTAAAAATGGACTTTTTTTCCATCCAAGTATTGAAACATTTATCTCAATTTCCACTTCCTTTTGGCAGGGTAACAGTAGCTGCTCTGAAGATGTGCCAAGCTCAGAATGAGGGCTGATGTCAGCCTGATCTCAGATTGCCTCCCTGCTCCGCGGCGAGTAGGTGGAGGAACTCTCTTGGGGAGACCGAGGGAACAGACACCCAGGATTCATTTTCCTGGTCACTCAATCGCCCTTACAAAGCACAGCTCTGGTGGCATTTACCCGGCTGCATAAGCTGCACCTTGTTAACTAGCCTTCTTTCTAGGTCCTTTTGGTTAAAAATCACTGCAAATAAGGCAAAACCAAATGTGGCAACAAAAAAAACTAAAATCACTCGATATTTAGGACCAGAACTCTGATGCTGATAAAGTGAAAATGATGTTTTTTTTTAAAGTCATTAAAATGGAAGGATTCCTTTCATCGTCTCTCCAGCAGGACCCCATTAGAATATTTCACTCTTGTGCATTCTGTACCTGCTCCTGCTCTCCTCCCAGTAAAACATGAGACCCCCAGCTTAGAGAGGTAACCCTGATTCTCAGATAAAAACTACAAGCTAACTCTTTCCCTCTGTGACCTTTGTGAAAGTGAAGACAAAAGAGTCAAAATTACTATAAAATGTATCTATCAGGGGTTGGCTCCCTGTGCAGGGGGCAGTGAAGGAGGGTTGCAGGGACAATCGTTTGGGTCTCTACCCTACAGCATGCCTACAGCCTTTCAATCTCATAGAGAAGTTTTAAAAATAAAAATAAAATAAGATAGATAGATGATAGACGATAAATAAATACAGCTGTTTTCCAGATTTCTCACCACACAGGAAAAGCAAGTGGTAGCTTGTTTCCATATGGGAGGAAATGCTAATTAGTGCCATGTATACACAGATTTACTAAAGAACATCTCATCGATATCATCATTCCAGACGTGTCAAATGCCCCAAACCATCACGGCAGTAAGTGAGAAGATACAATCCCAAACTACCAACACCTGGCACTGCCTCCACTGAGGCCATGACCTGAGGAACCAAAAGTGGCCGGGGGGATTTGGGACAGAAGGANCTGAGGAACCAAAAGTGGCCAGGGGGGATTTGGAACAGAAGGCCTAATGATTTGTCTTCACCGGCAAGAGGCCAGGACAGTCAAGGGGCAGCAGGCAGCAGAGACAATATCAGAATTGGCACCACAAAAACATCTTCTCTTTCATGGACCTCTCCTTCCAGTAGGCAAGTTACTATTGGGATTGAAGACGCTAGCCTCTGATGTTGTTGTTAAGGGAAAAGTAAGCAACATGTGAAGGCACTTGCTTAAGCCAGTGCTTCTCAAACTCTAAGTGACTGCAGATCAGCTTAGGCGCTTGTGAAAATTCAGATTCCGACTCAGGAGCTCTAGGGAGGGCTCCTGAATCTTGAGATTCTGCATCTCTCACAAGCTCCCAGATGATGCCGCTGGTATTGGTCCATGGCCTGTGCTTGGTGCAGCAAAGGTTTATTAACACAGAGAAGGTGTCCAAAATGTGAGCCTCATTGAACTAATAGATGCAATCCACCATCATTGCAAGAAAATAGTACTTCTAGTTATCTTCACCATGAAGACCAATTGTGCCCAAAATTAGGTGACCCCACAAAGCCAGGCATGCTACAATGATCACCCTATCAGTGTCCAGAGTTTCTATCCTCAAGTCATAAAAAATAAAATATGCCATAGACAGAGGTTCCCAACCCTGGTTGTCCATTAGAATCACATAAGGAACTTTTAAAAAATACAGACATCAGGGCCCTCTCCTCAGAGATTCTGATTTGATGCCAATGCTGAGCAGCTTATTTTTTAAATTTTCCTAGATGACCTTAATAGAAATTGAGACCTACTGGCCTATAGAATGCAATTAAACACTCCACTGTCAAGTGGGATAATGTAATCTTAGAATTCTAAAAGGTAGGAATATTCAGGTCATATTAAACGACATATACAAAGGTCAAAATTTAATGAATGATAGGGTGTACATAAACTTGGTTCGTGATATTTGCAAAATTTTTTCACTGCCAGGTTATAAAGAAAGTACTTATAGCGCCAGGTTCCTACTACAAACCCTTGGGCACGTAGGGCCACTGAGGAAATATTATTCTTAGCTAAAAACACTTTAGCTCTGCTAAAGTGAAAAATAACAAAGCCTTTATCGATCAGTACCCTAAAAGTCACAACATGAACTGCATGGTCAAATAGCATAGGAATTGGAAGCATAGGAGTGGCATGGCTCACCTATATCTTCTCTAGCTCTCACCTGGCACACAGAAATAGCTAATACTTTTAGGTGGGCCTCTTTGGATAGAAGGTTACAGATGAGACCATATTTAGATTAGATCACTCCGTAAAAGAAGAGAGCATTAAAGCAGTAAATATTTACAGTATGAGTCCCATGGGAGGGAAAGTAAAATTTTCAGATTTTATTATATAAGAATATCGCAGTTATTTTATATATGTATATATTTTACAACCCAGAGCCAATTATAGACACTTAGGAAAACTAAGGAATAAAAATGTCGTATGCTGGCAGTTCTCAAGCGTAGTCTCGGGTCAGCAGCAGCATCAGAATCATCTGGGAATTTGTTAAATTTTTTGGCCCCACCCCCAACCCATTGAATCAGAAAATGGGCTGGGGAGGCTGGAGGCAGCAATCTGTGTTTTAACAGGTTCTCCTGGTGATTATGATGAAAGCTCGTGTTTGAGAACCACTGTCGCCTGCCATATTGATCAGTCTTTAACCAACACCATCACTTCTCTCTTTCTACCCCGCCTTTCACAGAAGAACGCAGCCTCAGATCCTCCACGGCCGCCTTCCCAAAAGTCTGCTTAGTGGATAAAATGCCATGGGATTCAAAGGACAGGCAGATGACTCATCCCTCCAGAGAATTTAAACTTTGGCCTTTAATTAACAGACAATACGATGCTCCATATTTAAGCTCCATTGTTCTGGCCCCTCACAGATTTGCCATTGGTATTGATCGCACTTTATGCCCTCAGCCTTCACTTTATAGGCCTGTGGTGGAAGACGCTGCCCACGATAAGATGCAATGACTCCATTGTGGGGACAACAGAGGAAACTCCTCCTCCCACGACATTAATTTCTTCATGTCAAAGCATATAGAGGCTGCACTGAGCCATATTTCCCTTTTGTCTGGGCCACTAGAAAACAGTCAGATTTGCAACAAAGTTCTGGCTGCTGCATTGGTCCTTCTAATTTCCATTTATGCACACTAACTTAACTCCAGATTTAATCTTATGCTAGTTCCTTATTTTCTTTTTGCTCCCATTTCTTAACCTATGCTTTCTTTAAAATCTTATTGTATTTTAAATCTTCTTGTATTTTCTTGTATTGTAGTTGGATATATATATATATATATATTCTCTCTATATATAATATAGAGAATAAAGATATGGATATGGATATAGATATATAGATAAAAGCTGCCTCAAAACCTTTCTAGGATCGAGGCAAGAAATATACATGCTTAAAAATTATTTTTAAAAAACCATGTACAGTGTGTTAAATGCAATTTTCTAAAAAATATCATAAATTAACTTACTGTTTGTCTTCAGGTTTTATAACAGATGGATCTGTCAAATTTTCTCCAACACCTCCAAAGAAGAAAGAAAATTCATTTAGCAAATGGGAATTTCATTTTTTCAGATTTCCTGAAAATAATCATCGAAGTTTAATTTCTTTCTTTAAACACCTATCTACCCAGTAATAAATTAAACAGCATGTGAATTAACTGTACTATAAAAATTGTGTAGGCATGTTGGAAAATTTTAGTTAATGCAGTCTCCTACAACTTCCTCTTATGCTATAAACAACTTTTAGGCTGCAAGTGAATGTTTTAGTGGTGTGTTCACAGTCACTGATAGTAGCACCATCACTCATGTATTGCATGTATGTACCAGACATTCTAATTTTATTTTCTCTAATTCTTAGCAATCATAAAAGAAGAGTATTAGCATCCTCATATCCTCATTTTACCAATGAGTACATTGATGTTCAAAGAGATGAGGCAATTTGTCAGGGTTACACTGTTCACGGTGGTGATAACAGGATTGAAGCTGAGCCAGCGCTTGTCCCCTCCCACCTGTGCTGGGCCAGGTGCAAGGCGCTGTGTGGCTCCGCAGCTACAGCCTCTGATGCATCAAAGACACCCAGCCAATGCTATATCTAGCATCTAAACACAGTAGGATACAAGCACCCCCAAGTTCTTGATTTGGGTGCTGGTTACACATGTGTTCCGTTGTTAACATTCTTTGGGGTGTATGCTTAATGCTGTGTGCACGTTCCTGAAGATAGAAATCTTCAATAAGGTACCCTTTAGAAAATGACACCAGTGCATAAAAGGATAACTAAGTGTATTTTAAAGCTAACATTTATCAAAACAAGGACCAACACCCAAAGGGAATCTCTGCTATAAAACGCAAGCGGTGAGGAGGCACATTTCCACCACGGTGATGTTTCACAGCGAGCGGGTCAGACAGGTGAATGCGCCGCGCTGTTCAGGATCCTCCTCTAGTCAGCACTGCTTCTCTGTGCTTGGAAGACACCAGCTTTGTGGAAAAGTTATTTTTAACTATTATAAAACTTACGGGTATTTTTTAAAAGATTTTTGCTATGTTCTCTATGTTTTACTATATGCTAAACCTTTCATTAAAAAAAATTATATATATATATATAGAGAGAGAGAGAGAGAGAGAGAGAGAAAGAGAGAGAGAGAGAGAGAGAGAGACAAGTCTTGTTTTTCTAAAAGACTATGTCAGTTCATTTTATGGTTATATTAATACCATGTACATTTAATGTATTTATCAATATAATCAGGTTTCAGTTTATCACTTTAAAATTAGTTTTCTATTTATCCCATATGCTCTTTGTTCATTTTTTTTTTCTGCTTTCTTCTGAATTACTGTGTATTTTTTAGATTTTACTTTATACCAAGCATTTGCCTGTTATTTGTTTTATTTTATTGGCTACCGCTGCATTTATGTCTTTTTAACTTACAGTCATCCTTCCAGCAATATTTTTCCACTTATGCATAATGCTGATTCTTCAACAGTTTACTTCCATTTGCTCCCTTCTGGAAGTTGTGCTATTATTATCATACTTTATTTCTACACATGGTATAAACTCCATAATTCATTGTGAATGTTTTGTGCTTTGAGTAAATTTTATTTAAAAATATTTATCAATGAATAAAAAATTTAAAAAAGAAAGAAAACACAATCCTTAGAGTTTACAAAGCTTTTCCCTAAAAAACTGACTGCGTTAGGAAAATAACCTGCTTAAGTAGGCGTTTTTACCTTTTTTGAGCTATGACTCTCTATTAGTCTGATAAAGCTAGGGGGTCCTCCTTCTCAGAGTAATGTTTCAAAATGCCTAATTTAAATCTATAGGATTACAAAGGAAACCAATGATACTGAAATACAGTTACTAAAATATTTTTTTTAAGTTACTGTATTGCAATACATGTGTTTCTTTATTAATTTTTAAGTAACAGAATCTAGCAGAAGTCTAATAATTGTCACACCATCCGACAATAAATAGAACAGTATTTTGAGATATCTGCCAACACATGTGCCATGTTAATGTCTATAATTGCTCCTGCCAACAGTCACAGGTACTGCTAATACCACTGAGGTCTGTGGTCTCCATTATAATTGAAGAAAATGATGAATTTCAGCGATAGGTTACTGAAAATAAAGGTATGATTTGTTTTTCATCAGAGTTCACATATCCTCTAAATTCTATACAGGGACGTTTTAGATCCCGTCATAGAATCTCTCTGCACACTGATTTTGACTAGGGAAAGAGAAAATAAGGCTGAAACACAGGCTTCAGGGCAAGTGTGCAAAATGTGCTTTTATCATCATTTATCCTTTTAAAAGTAAAAGTCATAGGGAGAGGCTGGGCTCTTTATACTTTTCTTATTACAGGCATAAGAAGGAACAGCCTAGAGAGACCGTGCTTTTTGAACTACGTAGTAAATAAGCAGAAAGACAGACAGACTGATATCCCAAGTACCACCAGTAGAGAGACTGAAGGCTGCAAATCCTTTACATGTTAAAGCTCAGACCTAACTCTGAGCCTGAAAATTCTAGCGCTGATGACGGCTTTAGGCTGATGCCTGAGTAAACCGTAAATTTAAGCTGGGAATACTCACAGTGCCTAAAGAGGTCATAGCAGTTGAAAAAAGGGAAGCTTTACAGGGAAAACTAGTCTATCAAAATCATATCAGCTCTTGTTTACATCAAATCTTGTTGCTGGTTACACAGGCAGAAGGTCAAAGGACCTGGGTTCCACTCACAACCCCATCACTTTCTAGTGGGTGACCTGCCCACCACTGTTAATCTCTCTGAATCTCGGTTTCGTCACCTGAAAGTGTGAGTAATAAAGAGCTTTATCTTACAGGGTCACTGAGAAGATTAAATGAACTATTGTATACAAACTGCTTAGCAAAGTTGTCTGACCCAGAGGGCACTAAAAATGTCAACTGCTATTTTTATTATCTTAATTCTATAAAGACCTCTGGTGAAGTAAAATTCTATTTTTTAACCACTGCCATGTTCTGATTATCTCATTTCCCTAAAGTACTGTGGTTTTTAGTGAATAAATCCCCCTATAAAAATGAGGGTTTGATATCCACAAAATGTTGTTTCCCCAAACTCAACCTGACAGTTCAGAGCTTAACTATTAAATATATTTGGGAGGCCGTCAAATGGCAGACAGGGCATCGCAGTGCCTGATAAAGGGAAGCCCAGATAACCGCTCATGCTACACACACTCTGCACCAACACCGCCTCCCCTGCTCTTCCAACTACACAGGAATTTCCCAGAAGGAAAATTAGCATAGGTGCCCATCCTACCCACATAGTCTCCTAGATATTTGAAAACACGGGAGAAAACAAGACATTTCACATTTAAAAATCCCAATGATATCTCTTTACCAGCTTCTATAGGGTAAGTGCACATGTATAAGGTAGCATGCAGTCTGTCCTCATGAGAAACCCAGAAACTTATATTCTGATCCCAACTACCGTGGGACACATCAGGGAACCTCTACATTTGCGGAAAGAAGTTACCATCTTTGTAGCAGTAGAATTTCATGATGATGATGTTGATGCTAATGTGGACTTATTCTGGAAACTGCCTTGTCCAATGNCATCAGGGAACCTCTACATTTGCGGAAAGAAGTTACCATCTTTGTAGCAGCAGAATTTCATGATGATGATGTTGATGCTAATGTGGACTTATTCCGGAAACTGCCTTGTCCAATG